TATTATATATTATATTATATATTTTATTATATTATGGTAATCTTTCACTGCCGATCAAATACAAGTAGACGTGGACTCAAAGTGCTGGAACACCATATCACCGGGTAGTTATGCGGCCTTGGCTGGTGTCGGCAGTAGAGAGAGGCCAGCTCACAAACGACCTCATCGTAAAATTCCTTCGTCACCTCGGCTCGTAGCTGGGCTTGAGTTAAGTTGTGTGAAAAAAACAAGAAAAGATGGGCCACAAGAACACCGGAAAGCCATCCAGCTGTCAGGAACTTTCCAACTTGCGGACCGCCACATGACATGCAACGGCGCTCCGACACACGAGTCCGAGAAAAACAGGCAAGAAGAGCCTGCTCGTACGAAGGGTCTTGTTGAGCCAAGGCAGGCAATGTTGCAGCCAAGCCCGCAGTAGGACATCCCCAACAGCAGCCGCGAAACCCTAAACCCTAAACCAAGTCCCTGTAACCGCCAACTCCCTAGGCCCTCGGGGCCCAGGGGCCCAAGCTTCAAAGCCCCCAGAGTCCAAATCGGCCCTGTTTCACAGGGCCAGGTAGACTCGACCTACCGCTGCCATGCGAGTGCGAGGATCAAGTAGTCGAATGACCAATGGTCTTCGTGATTGTGACTACCGTATTTCAGGCTGATTTGATAGCTGCTGTGCCTAGTTCCGTTTGCCACTAGATTGTAAGCCAGAGTTACACAGAAATGCCTCAAGTTGGTCCATCTTCGCTTGACGATTCAGGGTGTAGCGTCTGCAAAAAAACGTTAGATCCTAGAGCTCGAGGCAACTGAACCGAACCTGAAGCCCCAAACCCTGCACCAAGAACTGCAGACACCACAAACCAGACCTCCACAGCACTCCATGGCTGTTACATCATGCCCTAAATCCCAAAGATGTCTGCTTGTACCCCACGGAGACCACGCCCTCAACCTTAAATTCTAAATCCACACTTTAAATAAGGGTCCTCCCAGCAAGGATCGCTCCCCAACCCCCCCCACTTCGCCCCCTCCCCTCCCCCAATTTATAAAAATCCGGGAGCCTACACGTACCTCCTTAGCCCCATTAAAGAAAAGCTGAGCGCCCCGCTTTGGCGAGGCGATTCCCTTCCAACGCCTGAGTCTCGGATCTAAGGCTTTAGGGTTTAGGTGCTGGGTTGTTCTTTTTGAAGCGGCTTTTAGGGTTTAGGCTTGTTTTAAGGGGTTTCAGGGTTTCGGCTTTAAAGGTTTTTAGGATCTAAGCTTTACAGGCGGTTCGCGGGCTTTAAGGTTAGGGGCCGTTTTAGGGTTGAAGGTGGTCGGGACGTTAGTGGAAGGCTGGGATTTAGGCTTCAGGAGTAAAGCTCACGGACAGGATTTAGGCTGTGGGGTTCCGGGACATGGCAAACTGCAAAACCACCGTGTATGCAAACGAACCCACAATGGCAGTTTTATGGATCGGCCATAATACCAGGTCTATACATTAGACTCGTCGGTAGCTTCAAAGCCCCCGTTCCCCTCTCCTAAACGAGGCCACTGTGGGGGAGGCTGGACCTGCGAACCACGGCGGCGGGAACTGACCTGTACAAAAATCACTCCGGACGGTATTGCCTATGTCATGAATGCAGGTGTTTTGTTGGCCTGTGCGTTAGGAAGCACGGCGCTTGAGGCTGCTACGGCGCGGCCAGCTGTGCGATGGTATTACCTGTGCCATTTGAGGTTTCGCCTCACAAGGAGACTTCGGTCGTGGCTGTGATCATGGCTCTACCCCGGCCCTGGTTGTCGGCCTTCTGCTTGCGTGTTCATCTCGGGGGGGGAGGCGGACTTTGTTCGGCGCTGGCTTGCGAGGATTGGTACGTTTCGCGTCGCCGGTGGGGACTTCGCTCTTCGAGGCGTCGTCACTGAGTTACTGGTGGCGCAGCCTGGAGCTGTATAGTTCACTTGATGTGGCATGGCCGTGGTCTCCTCGGCCTCTCTTCGCTGGTGGGTGAGGAGTTTGGAGGCCTGATGCTTGGAATCTTTGCCTGCCTGGCCCTCCATGGCGGCGTTTGGCTCTTGGCTGAGGACGCTTCGCCCTTCCGGCGGGTTCCTGTTGGCAGGTGTATAGCTCACTGGTTGTGAACGGTCGAAGTTTCCTTGGCTACAGCGGAGGTGCCAGGTGGCCTTTGTGCTTAATTGGCTGCAGGGCCTCCCATGGTGGTATCGCCTTGGCGCAGTTGGATGGTGCACCGCACATTTTGGGTGGAGCCTGGTCGTGGTTTCTCGACCTCATTCTACGTGCGCGGCGGCGGCCTTGTTTGGACGAGCTCCAGCCGTCGTGGTTTGGAGATGCAGGGAGGTGTCAAGTTCTTTTCTGGTGGAGTGGCTTGGCGCTCTCTTGCATAGTTACAGGGGGCCTCTTTCTTGGATGGTGCTTCGCTCCTGTGGTGCTTCGATGATGGACAGGGATCACTTGGCGGATGTGGCAGGATGGCAGGACGTCGCTGGTGCAGGATATGGGGGGTTTCCGAAAATAGGGGACCCCAATATAGTACCCTAAGGAGTAGGATCTTTGTTTATAACTACCCCAAAATAAGGTGCCCCTTATTTTCGGAATCTCCCATATTTACTTGGAGGCGACCTCATGGCCATTTGGCACTGGCACCTCCCAAATCCCGCCAGGCCGACCATACCCTTGGGGGGAGCCAGGTGCGCACGTCTTCGCGCGTGGCAGCCTGCAAGCCCAGCCTCTAAAGCCTGCTCCCGCACTGCCCAATAACCACGGAAACCCTAAACCTTCCCCCCCGGTTCCCCGCTGAGCCCACAAACCCTCAGCCCAAAACCATGAGACCCTCTTCTTCCACTGGGCCAAGGGACCATGGCCATCGAATCGTTGGAACTGGCATGAAGGAAGTTCATGAACGTTGCTGCGGCCTGCTGGGCCTTGCCGAGGCATCGGATCCCGTCGGGCTCTGGTGGTTTCAGGTTTAGGGTTCGCTTGGTTTTATGTAGGGTTCAGGCTTCAGGGTTCAGGGTCTGTAGGGTTCAGGCTTCATCATTCGGCTCGATGATCAATGGAGTCTGGTGTCGACGCCAGAGTCCCTCTGCGGCCCGTTCAATACACGAAGTGATGGTTGTAGCCGAGGCAGAGATCATCTTGCACCAAATTCATATGCTAGGGCCCTCGCACTCAAGCCCTCTGTGGACGTCCCGATGCGCAGCAGGAAGGTTCCGAAAAGCTGGGAGAAGTACCTTGCAAGCAGCAGTCGCCAGAAGCTAATTTTCAGTAAAATGCATACATGCTTACATACACTCATGCACATACACATACACGTACACATACACATCCATCAATCCATCCATCCATGGATGGATGGCTGGATGGTTGAACGGCCTTAAACCTGCGACCATCAAGCCTTCAGAAAAAAATGCCACCAAACTTTATCTCCTGATACTTCCAGCTATTCATGCCGACCTCTTTACTACCACGCTGATGGAGGAGTCGTTCACAGTAAAGAGGTGCCCAACCGCGACAGTGGCCGCAAGAACCTGACAGTGGGTCTTCATGGAATCTCCATGGCGATTCCGCGTGTCGGCCCCATTTAAAGCCCTCTTGTGCCTTACGATCCGAAGGATCCGCCGGGTCTGGATCAGAGCGGTTCCTGGGAGGCGGAACATCCAGACATTGCAGGCTTCCGGCATTGGCATGGCAGAAATTTCACAAAGCCTGCCTCCGTTTTGTTCGTAAGATGCTCACTGTACAATCGCTGACGCTGGCCGTAGCAGCTGTACTGCATCTAACAACGCACTAAACTAAAGCATTGGTCAGTTCCTGACCGAAATTTCCGAGCTAACTTGGATGCACCCCACACGGTTCTGCGTTCTCATAGAACGTTAAAGCTGAAGCCATCGCCTTGAACGTGAACCGTTGTTGGAAATAACTGCTCAATCGAAGTCCGCCTCATAACCCCGCTCATCGTCGTTCAAGTCCGTCTCATAACCCCGCTCTTCGTCGTTCTCCTCATGCCATTGCCGTGCTCGTCTTCGGCGGATGTCGGACTGGCGCTGCACCACTCGCCTCTTCATCCGGATTTCCTTGCCACGAGGTATGGGCTTTTATATCACAGTCCACATCTCGACTAGCACCAGTTCAAGAACACTGGTACCAATTCTGAATCAAAACATCATCAGCGACTCATGCACTTTCCGCTTGCATCTGGGTCTCGCTTTTGGTCCGTCCTTTGAACGGATGCGATACCATCCAGACTGTTCGACCTGCAGGCACTTACGATTGGACCATGCTGCCAGCTTGGCTCATTGGCAGATGACGAACGAACAACATGCCATGCGATGCCAATGGACACGCCTCGTCGTGGGTTCTCGAGATCCCAGACGTTTCCGAACTTGATCAGCCGATCAGCATCCGTCTCTGGCCTGATCTACTGCAAGCTAGGCTAGGAATGCACCGGCTGCAGTAGAGGCATGCTTAGACTCATGAATGCCAGAAGATACAACCGAAATATCGCGATAATCAAGAGAAGTTCTGGAACAGCTTCCGGAGCGGGAGCGACGCATAGCTGCCTGTAAACTTGCCTCCTCATCGTGCAAGTGATGCATGCAGCACTTACACAGTTGTATTCTGTTTTCGCTGTTGTATTCGGAACAACGTTGTGTGCGCGTGTGCGCATTGTGCATACTTGTGCATGCATCTGTACAGGTGGCATATTGTGCAACATTATAACTGAAAGTGCTTTAAATGTGCAGGCAGGCTTGGATGTGCTTTCTACGCTTAATGAGTTAGTTGATGCACACATCTGCCTTGCTACAGGAACAACAGCAATCAATAAATTCTACACCACCAAGAATAGTCAGAATAGTGAGGCTACATGTGACAATAAGAACGGTGATGCTACTGGTGGTGATCTTGTAAGCGGCAGGTGGCACGGCAAGGCGTCTCCGGCCCACTTGCTGCGGCAATGCCCAAGGCTGCTCGCGAACATCCCAGCAGTGGTGTTTGAGCACCAGCCTTCTTTTTTATTTTGTGGACCTTTTTGGGACGAGTCGGGTGGCTTCATATATTTACTCATTACCGGTATCCCTCTGGTGTTCGGCTTGATGTCATATCGTATATCCCGCATCGTTTTGGGCGTCTGCTCGACCCAATGTGTGACTGTTTGCAAGAACTGGAGGAGTATTACATGTACCCTCACAAGTATGAAGCGTATGCTGGACATTTCACAGCCATGCTACATATCTTGCGCATTTACCGCTGATAGAATTCTTACTGACTGTTGTAATGATCCTAAGTGTCCTGGCTACCATTGCTAGGTCTACTGTTGCCACGATCATCGCTGCTGCTGCTAGCCTCGCGTCCACAGTGTAAAATCCCCTTGTCACTGAACATCGAATGTCCCGTCTGAAAACTCCCTGCGCAGCCTCACAGACATGAATTTCACCTGGGCTGGCGCACTACACAATGACTGAAGGTCCTTCTCATGCTTCTCACCTGAACATTGAATGAAGCTCACATGATCGCATGTCCTCGACTTGGAGTTCTGATTCTAGAGCACTTATAAGAAGGATGGGGTCTGGAATGACATTCAGCTGCACAGACGGCCCAAAACCTGAAACCGTGCCCCGAAAGCTGCGAGGCCTGAAAAAAATGTCAAAGCGATGACCCGGATCGGTGCAGCAGGGTGTAATTTATGCAATAAGAGGTCTACTGGCTTTAGGTTCTTTGGGGACACCTGGCCGCTCCACAGCTATGTCCGTAGTAACGCCTCTTGCTGCATGCCCATTAGAATGTAAGGCACTCCCTGCACACTCTTGGGTAAACTCCCTAAGGCCACGTGCCAGACGAGCCTTTCGTCTGGCACAAACGGCGTTGGCTGTGTCTGTGCGGACGGCTCAGTCTCGGTCTGGGACTCTGGTGACCACGAGAGCAGGAACCTAACAGTTTCAGGGATTTCTCGGATGCTGACGAGGGGAGACCACTACCGCGAAGCACTCGGCGGGTTAAATTAAAGTGATCTTTAAAGTATACACTTTGTGGCATGAGTCCTACACCGTGCAGGCACCTCGGACATCACCTAGTAACAAACAGATGCTTTGCGACCAGGTCGGGCTTGAACTTCGACCTGCCTGGCTTCGAATTTCTCATCTGTTCTCTCAGCTCAGGACAGCCAAACTCTCACGGCCTGAGTCTCATTACTAGCTTTCTGTGTCTTCCTTTCTCTCTGAATATGTACGTAAACTCGATCTCTCTGTCTCTCTCTTCCAACTTTCCTGCAGTATCCATCTCACTCGCACAAACACACATATGTGCACAACACCAATCCACCCACCAACCAAAAACAAACCACCAACGAAGCAAGCAAGCAAGCAAGCAAGCAAGCAAGCAGGCAAACAACAAAACACACCAAATCAAACCAGAACAACACAAATCAAAGCACACAAACATACACCCACACAGAGACACAGACAAATACACTCACACTAACACAGGGACACACACTCACACACACACACCCACACACGCACACAGACACAGACACAGACACAGACGCAGACACAGACACAGACCCAGACCCAGACCCAGACGCAGACAAAGACAAAGACAAAGACAAAGACAAAGACACACACACACACACTTGTACACC